GGAAGATGAGAACTGGCGACTTTGTAGTACAACTTTAGTACGCGGAGTAATGTGTGGAGCTGGAAGGTGAGAACTGGCGACTTTGTAGTACAACTCTAGTACGCGGAGCAAGCCGTGGAGCTGGAAGCTGAGAACTGGTGACTTTGTAGTACAACTGTAGTACGCGGAGTATCTGGGGAGCTGGAAGATGAGAACTGGCGACTTTGTAGTACACCATTACTACGCGGAGCAATCTGTGGAGCTGGAAGCTGAGAACTGGCGACTTTGGTCGGTTCCAACTTGTTTTGTCAAAGAACATCGCAGCTCGGCGAAGCAGCCTGCCACATGCCCATTTCCTTTATATAGGTTTATTCTTTTGGAAACTTCCGCCGCCGGCTTGCCCGGGAACTACTTGTAATCATAAGTTCTAAGTGCCACAAAATCTGCTTTTGCCCCATGGCAGCTCATATCACCAAGCGTGTTTTGATTGCTGAGTGACTCCAGACATCACCTCACCTATCGTTGGACGGGTACAAAGTACGCGCAGCCAAGGTGGTTTGCACCGGTCTCCCAAGATGCAATTCGATTCTGCTCGGCACGGAGATCATAAGTTGCTCGGTTTGTTTTGAGAAACATGTGTTGCAGCTCTGTTGATTGACTGGAAGGAAGATCATTCCAAGTCCCAAGCATGTTCCTCAGAAGTTGGAGTCTCAGTACTCACTTACCGCTGCGTTCGCGAATAAACTGGGACTATGGACTACTTCGTGTTTGGGGTTTCGGGCCTTTAGGGTGTAGGGTCTGGCTGTAGGGCGTTTCCGCACCCAAGTCCGAGAGTTTCTTCGGCGTAACTATAAATATAGAGAGAGCGACCACGAATTTGCAGGCCAAAATGTGTGTTTGCCTACAACAGTGTTGGTAGGTGCTGTATATATATATATAATATAACAGTTCTTGAATGTCATTTGGATTCAGTGAATTGGGCACAACCTCAGAACCCAAAACGCCTCCCTCATCAGATCGCCAAATCCGACGGCAAAGTCTACATACCCAAACCAAACGCTGGGCACTCTTATCATTTGCAACAGAGTTTAGCTTCCTCGCAAAGCTCTAGGGGCAGTAGATTCCCAGTAGATAAGCACTGGGATAAAATAGCATCTCTTGCTCCATATTCTGGTTGGTCATTGGCACCTGGCAGCTGGGGCATTTGGCTTCAGCTGAAAGAAGACCTGGCCGGCATCCAACCCAAAGTGCTTTCTGAGGCTCAACCTCCAGCAGTTCTTAAACCTGGAGACTCAGGAGGCCAGGGATGCCCCGGCTCCCTGCAGCAGCTTCGCTAGAGCCCTGCAATGGTTGGCAGGAGACCTGGCGAAAGCCAGGGGAGTGGGGAGTGAATGGTGCCAAACATTGTTCTTGCTGAACTTGCTTGGGATGTAGGATAATTTATGACAACCTGGCAGTTGTTGCTAGAGGGATGTGATCGGATCCACACTGGCTCTTGCAAATGCACAAGGGGTCGCAGGTCATTTTTGACAGTAGGCTGCCAGCTTCGCCACACCTGACACAAAGCATCAGATGCCATATGTGAAATGGAATGAATACCAGAGTTAATTTTTCTTAGCTTTGGTGTTAATTCTTTGTCCCGGCGTGCAGGTCAGCATGCGCCTCAGCAGAATTGACTCCCAAGTTAAATCTTTTTGTAACTCCTGCTTCTTCCAGAATCAACTCCAGAGTTAATTCTTTATGGTGTCTTTCTGTATCGGACCCCTTCAGGACCCCTTGAAAAAGAAATACAGTAGATCCAGAGTTAATTCCTTTCCTGCCTCCTCTGCCCCTTGAAAAAGACTTACATCCAGAGTTAACTCTTTGTTTGGCGTGCTTGAAAGTCTGTTCTTGCACCGTGATTGTGAGTTTTGGTTAAAGATGGCTGTGGTGGTAGTTGCGGCCAGCAAAGCGGGCAGACAGCTGCCAGCATGGCAAGAGATAGAGACGGTGTTCCCTTCGTTCTAGGGCCTTGCACAAAAAGAAAGAAAATAGACAAATAACTATAACTCAAGAGTCAAAGAGTCAATTCTTTTTTGGTGGCTACTTTTTCCCCACCTTCTTATCTTCGTAATCATCCTTCACCATCCTTCACCTACCTAAAGCTCAAAACAATTAAAAGTCAAGAAGAAAAGACAAGAAATAGATAGACCAAGAAAAGGGAACAATGAGACACACTGAAAAATGATTAGCTCGAGAGTTAATTCTGCATTCGCACAAATAGCAAAGTTGACATAATCATCTCCAGAGTTAATTCTTCTAGAGCTACAGGTTGAACAGGGGTAAGAGCTAAAGCATCAACACTGGAGTTAATCAACTCTTGTATTCAGCCCCTTCCGCCATATGTTTTGTCCTCTTATGTACTTGCAACGCTTTGCCAGCCTTACAATTGAAACCTCAGCTACCGCAGGCCTACCTGTGAGGGAAACAGTGGACCATAGGTTTTTCATGAATTCAGTGGCACTGGGACAAGGCATGGTGGACAGCCTGGACAGCTGGTACTGTACAACTCAATTTGTCCATGCAAAAAGTCAGCAGTGCATCTGAGTGCATCTTGACATCTTGCCAAATTTCTACCACTCCATGCGCTACAGTAGTCTTTGCATTGCACTACAGTCGAACAGTTTGATAGGAAGATGTTTGACGGCCTAATGTTTCAAATCCATGTGCCAACAGGATAATGTGAAAGCCCTGTTGGTAGGCAATTGAATTACAAGAAACCCTTTGCGTGTTGTCCCTGTACCATTGCATCAAATCGTAGCGACCACTGCGACCACTGAATTTCCCACGGTTTTCTCTCCTCATCGTGGGAAACTGTGTGGGGTGGAAATTCCAATCCAATCCCGCGGACGCGGGATGTCCGAGCCAAAGACGGTCTTATGATGTCATGTGGTTTCTCTGGTCATGGGACCTCGGAGTTCAGGGAGTCAATGCAGATCAATGCAGATATGCACTTTTTGTTTGCCAGGTTCATGTCATTTTATTTCTGCTTGTTAGCTTGTTCAATCTTTGGGCCTCCCTGGCAACCAAGGAGAAGACCTACCCTTGCTGGCCTTCAAGGGAACTCGTCGTGCATTCTTCCCAGAGCAACCCTGGGCACCGCTGACGCATGCGATTTGCGGATTGTTGGTCTTTGGGGTCTTCCCATTGATCTTAGAGCTTTGTGTCGAGCGGTTCTTTGCCTTCCCCGACCTGGTGGAACTGACGCTTGGAGGTTTACGTGCGGAAGAGATTGATTCCCGGGTGACTTTGTGGCCCTTTGTTGGGTTGCGCTTGCGCGCATGTGCCCCCCAGCTGCACACAGGCCAAGGGAGGCTAAGGATATGCATATATGGTATATAGAACTCACCGAGCTTTGTCCCAGCAATTGGTCCACACAACGGCCCAACCGTGTCCAAAGTGTTTTAGATGCAAAGCTGCAGTTGGTCAAATACATCTCTGTAAAAGTGTTCTTGAAAGATCTTGGGTGATCTTGGGTACTGTAGGGGGTTCCAAATATGCGCTGCGTTGCACGTTTGCAACCCAGGTTGCACGAAACAGAAAAGGGTGAAAACTGAAAACCATTTGGGGTGCGGTAGAAGGGTGACTTAGTTTTAGGGTGTTGGTTTCTATCAGTGTTTTCTGAAGTGCAGGTTGGATTGTTTGTTTTCATGAACGGCAGCGAAGTGCTGCTGAAGATTTGGATAGTTGATAGTTAATACCTGCTCAGGAAGAGCACCACCGGGAACATCGCTGAGATTGGAGCGATGCATGGAGAGGTGGAGATTCCCAGTGGCCAGTCGCAAGTGGAAATTTGAAAGCCAACAGCCTTGGCCGCCGGAATGTACTTCAAGTGATAGGTTCATCAGGTGAGAGTCTAAACGTATGGAGAAGGAGCAGTCGGTTCCAATGTTTCAGCACTCGCTTCTTTCCGATATATAGTCCGGACACTCATGTCAAGAGCCTGTGCTTCTTGCAACAGCTCTCCACAGGTTCCGTCCATCAGGCGACTTCAGCTCGCCCAATCTATTGATGGAATGGAATAGTTTTAATAGTAACATGATAACAAGTTAGCCGGTAGACGTTGAATTGTTTCCTCACTGCCTGACTCTACCCTGTCGGTGCTTCGATTTGAGGTCTCGAGCTCCGCACGCTCTTGAACCCCAAGCCCTGGCCCAAGAAGTATGTTTTCCTCGGTGCAGATGTCCCAGCGAAGCTCCAGGTGGGCTTTGAGACCGGATTGGCGATGATTGGCGCTTGGGAAGGGGGTGTGCTTCATTTTGGCCCGGAAGGGTGTTGCTAGCTTTGCTCAAAGCATCCTTTATGGCCAGCGCAGTTTGTTCTGAAGTTCTGGGCCTACGCCGGTGGTGGTTTACTCAACGGGCTTTTGCTCTCCCCACGTTGGCTTTGCCGTCCAAAACGCCCCAAATGCACCGGCAACAGACCCGGCAAAGACGAAAAGTTACAGTAAGTCCACCATGAAGCAAAACAAGCGAGGTCAGAACCAGCTTCCACAAGACATCGTGCCTGGGTGGAACGGCTGGGTTTGTGAGGGGCTGTGAGATGTTCAGCATTATGTTCAGCCTGCGAGGCCAAATTTAAGCACAAAAATGCCACGCGGCTGTGAATAACATAGCCAACGTAGCCATAGGCAAGCTGGAGGGTAGCATATATATATATATACATACACAACTTGAGAGCAGGTTCATAAAGGGAGTGCAGATCGTTGACGGTCATGGATGCTTGTGTTTTTTATTCAGGCAGTTACAATATTGAGTGTGGCTGGGACGACTTGGGCGGCGTAGCTCTTGCTCGAAAGATTTTGTTGCTACAGTGACATTCAGGAGTTTGGTGTAACTACACTCTTAGATCGGACCCACCTAAGCCATTGAACATCTTGAACGCTTGCTTTTGGGTTGATATTCTTGTTTGCGGGAGGGTACAGGTCGCTGTAAGGGGGGTTGCTTTAGACCGCTCGCCAAGCACAACAAGAAGGTTGGATAGCCTTCCAGGGTTCCACCAAGGAAAGTCCGTCTATGCTGTGGAGAGCATCCATGCAGCGAAGCAATTTTGAAGCATAAATTGATCAAGTGGCTTGGGCAGTATGAGTATTTGGTGTGGCGTCATTGGTACTGCCTCACTCCAATCTAAAGAGCATCCAGAAGTGAAAAGAAGACAAGAAGGTAGGTAGCTTGAGGGCTCATGTCATTCCTCCTGGCTGTGCCAGGTTTGCTAGGAAACCATCCCTGGAGTTATATATATATATACTTTTGTTGATGTTTGTTGAACATTAACATATGTTACATATTTGCTGATTGTTGGGCTCGAATGCTTTCACCGGTGCCTGTTTATTGTGCGTACTTTGCGTCAGCTTTTGGATTGCTCCACGTACTTGGCCAAGCTGCAAGCGTTCATCATCGTTCATCCCATGCTACGTCAAGTTGTTCGCTCCAGAAGTGCCTGTGTACGCTCACGTGAGGCTTTTCGATCAGCCAGTGGATGTGGATGTCCCACACCATCTTGCCAGCAATTGTACGCTCAGCTTGTTGGGCTTCAGCAGTCAGGCGGTGACCAATGTGACTCGGACCGGCTTTGGGGGCAGAACCAGTAGGGAGCTCCATTTAATTTGTTGAGTAGTTGGTAGCTTGCAATGCCCACTTGTGGGAGTGGTTCCCAAAGGAGATCTCAGCTATGCCCCCCGCCCCTTTGTTTCTGCGGCGAGTGTTCCAGTTCTTTGTACCATGAGAGTCTAGGAACATCCAAGAACCCCAAGAAAAGTTAAAGAGTTACAGCTAAAGCTAAAGACAACATGGTTGGAAGGAGGAAGAATCGGGAATTCTTTGTGACAACTCTGCCAAGCGATTTTTGAGCGAACCATCCTTAAATCACCTGGAACATTCCTTTCTCCAGCACTGGAGAGGGAGGATGATACCAACTCAGCTTGGAGCCAGCATTCATATAGGTGTTTGACATCATACTTGTTGTCGGGTAGATGCTTCAGGAGGCCCTTGGGAACTTTGACACGCCTTGGTGGGGTGTCTGCATATTACTCTGAGATTCGCATGATTGGTCCAACTCGCAAGCCGACACTGAAGGAACTAAAAGAGAGTCTTTGGAGAGCTCAAGCCAAGGTGATGGTTGCGCTGAAGCCCAAGAGATGCTTCTCTAAACTCTTGGGGTTTGCCACGCGTACAAGAAAAGGTGTGTGTGTGTGTGTGTCCCACCCTGGACAAAGGGTCTTACCCCACCACTTTTACACAGGCAGGGGGGCAGTGAGTCTCATTCCATCCACTGCCCAACGAAGACGGTGGTTTGAGACTGTGACATTCGGAGAGGACGCTCTCTGAACGTACCTGCTGAGGTCTTTCACAAGCTGTCACCCTACTTTTCCACGATTTGATTCATGGTGGTTCCACATGATACTTTCCCCACAAACAGGTTTCCCACTGCACTGCAGCTGCTGACCACCGCCTCCATTTGCGCTTGTCGTGAAACCTGTGTTAAACAATACATTTTAAGCTGACCTTTCCACCTTGCCGTTCCATCGCCTTCTTTCCCTTTGAGACAATTGCGTTAACTGAAAATCCAAGTTCGAAGTGTGTGTGTGTGTGTTGGGCGTCTCGTTTTAAGAGTGGACAGTGTTTATTCTTCATCATAAGGATTTCCTTTATTCCATCACATTGAAGCTAGGGCTGATGGACGAGGTTTCGTGAGACATCCTGGTTTCTTTCGGGTGGTAAGCCCTAGCTTTGGATGTTGCATCCACCATGTTCAACCTGTTCCTGCTGCTCAGAACCCCCCGAACAAGCACTTTAAAGATGAATATTGCTATCACTGGTATCTAGTAGTGATGGAGACAGAACCCAACCTACATCTCAATTCCTCCACCTGTATTGTGTGGGCCCACTACCCACTCCTCTTCGGGATGATGGGTTTTGTCATGAAGAAGTTTATGTGTCCCAAGGTTTTTGCTTGCCAGGGTTAACTGCAATTCGCTTTGCCCTGCCAAGGCCCAGCTAGACAGGCATAGGCACTTTGAAGCACACGTACAAGTCTGTAAGAAGGTCTCCGTCCTTTAGCCAGCAAATGGCTGCGTACTTTAAGATAAGCATTCCAGTTGAATGTGAGGATGCTCAATATTTCGCAATCGGTTCAGGCTAGCTGTGTCCAACCTCCAATGTCCATACCAAAGAGCCATAGAAGTTAGTGTAATTCCTGGACTGTCCATGGTTTGCCAATGAGGAGAGCACAACTTTTGCGACTGCTCGCTTGTGGGCTGCACCTGCTGTGATGGATATAGCGGATCAGTTCGCTTCAAATCTATACTGACGCCTGGGTCATAATTCAAGCCTTCAGTGTCGAATTTATAGCTAGAGTACATTTTGCTTATTGGGTATGCATTTGGTTGGCTTTTCTTGACATGTCACATCATGACCTTTGAAATGTTTGCTCCACTGTGAAGTGACTTGCTGAGGAAGAAACTTATCTCTCCTGACAATTTTCGGAACTTGAGTGGCATTTGTGTTGCCGCATCTTGTGACACAATCCAGCACACTAATGGCCAAAAGGGCAGCGATTGTGGCTGCGCGGACGGCTTTGTTGGCGATGTCAAGTGGGATGGGCCAGTCCCTACGGGGGTTGACTTCAGCTGCTTTAGAACGATTTTGCGCGTGGGGGTTATTGGGGGTTCAACAAGCTACCTCTGTAAGAAACCAATTTATAGTAAGACAATTGCTGTACATTTGGTCTACAGTCCTTATTATTCACTGTTTATTTCCCTCAAAAACACCGTCAACCTCAGGTTATTTGAATCTCCCTGTCAAGTTTGAGGACATGTTCCACTAACCAGTCCGGCCATCAATCTGAGGCTTGCATTTGGGAACCTTGTGCCATCGAAAACTCCACGTTTCGTGATGGCAACTGCACTTGCATGGATGGCTTTGTAGGGCAGATCACCTGGGAAAGCAGCAAGTGGAGTGGATGGTGCCGCGCTGCTGAGTTTCCTGTCGGTTGTTTTCAGTGCTACTTTTGCCTTAGATCTTGAGAAGGTACTTCGGTTTGCATGCGCTTAGCTCTCACAGTTCAAAATAGTGTCTTCAGTTGTTTGCATCATTGAGTGACCTGTTTAAGGTGCAAGATTCCCAATTCCAACAGAAGGCCAGGGAAGGCTTGCAAGTGCAAAGATGGATTCCTGGGCAGTATTGATTGGGATGGAGGCCGTCCGATTGACAAGTGCGATCCTGCGCCGTGCGATGTGAACAATTCAAATCAGAAGCCTGGGCCAAGCTGCCAGTGTGAAGCCAAGTTCGTCATTTGCTTGCATATTGGCCATAGATGATTTTTCCAGTTTGCGTTTGCAGTAGGCAACAGATTGTGATATTCCCCATAAAGGGGGCATGAAAAGAGAGTTCCATTATCAACACTGATGGGCACCACTTGGAATGCAGTGGCAGACCTCGCCGGAATAGGTGGAGCATTCAATATACCAACGACTGAATTAGAATTTAAAGCGATCTACTGTGCACAGTCGCAATCGTAAAAAAGGGGCTCGTTTTGTTGCTCCATTATGTTCCATTCGTTTTTGCATTGCATTCCAGGTAGGCGGCATCACATGGAACGAGTCCACGCCCGTTGGCACCTGCGAGCCTGCATCATGCGAAGGAGACAAGCTGAATGGACTGCCTGGTAGGGACTGTCAATGCAAAGATGGCTACACAGGCCATTGCTGACCATGAGGACAATCATAGCATGGTTTAGCATGGTTTGTGTATGCGGGTGAGTTGTTAATTTGTTTAAGTCACTTTAGTTCAAAGTTGCACTAGGACACTAGGATAAGGCTTGTGAGAGTTGCACTACGTTGCGCGGACCTCTTGGGTTTCAACATGTTTCAACTCTAGCCAGATTCTGGCCAAAAAGGCTGCCCGTCCCGGCACACTGTGACTAGGCGAGCCAGAGAAGCATCATGATATCTTGCGCGATTCAGGCTGCCAGGCAGCACCTTGCAAGATCGCAAATTCCACTGGGGATGGTCCAGGCTGTAAGTGCAAGAGAGGCTTTGAAGGGGTGATCAACTGGACTGGTACTGTGGCCAGTGGCTCTTGCACACCGGCAGGTTGTGACATTCCAAACTCTAACAAGATGCCCGGTCCTCAGTGTCAGTGCTCTGAGTGGTACGAAGGAAAAATCCACTGGCTTGAGCATGGTGCCGACGGAAGATGTACACCAAGAGCTTGTAGGGGCAAGCTTTTGAATGGTGTTGCGGGGCCAGGTTGCGCTTGCGCAGATGGTTACACCGGTCATGTACGACCAATCGCGAGGAAAGCGCATGGCCGCTGGCCGACTTTGGCGTTGGATGGCGAGTGTGAACCAGCACCATGCAACATGAAGAACTCCAACAACATCTCGGGCCCTGAGTGCGGATGTGCTGATGGTTTCATATTCAATGGAAGTGGCCCAGTGTGGAACGGATCTGTGCTGCAGGGCAGTTGCGAAGCTGCTCCGTGCAACATCGCCAACTCCAATAGGAAGCCAGGAGCTCAGTGCGCGTGCGCCTTCGCTTTTGAAGGCGACATCACCTGGCGTCTCCACCATGCTTCAGGAGAATGCAGGCCACTCCGTTGTGTGGGCAACAATGTGAATGGTGTCGATGGTCCAGGATGCGGCTGCAAGGATGGTTGTGTCGGAACAGTTCATGTGAAGAGACAAGTGAATCAGACGTGGGACGATTGGGACGAGAAACTGTTGAGCGAAGTGTTTTATGATGCCTTGGAAGGAAGATGTGAGCCTGCACCTTGCGACATTGAAAACTCCAATCATGAGTTTGGCCAAGCTTGCCGATGCCGAGCAGGCTATTACGGCGCAATCACTTGGAATGGATCTATGCCCGATGGCCGATGCAAACCAGCACCGTGCTACATCCCAAATTCCAACCAGGAGAGCGGCTTGAGCTGCAGGTGCATGGATGGATACGAGGGCAAAATTTCCTGGAGTGACGACCAACCATCAGGGACCTGCGTAGCAACGCCTTGCCAAGTTCCAAATTCCGACTTTGCAGCAGGTCCTGGCTGCCGATGCTTGCCAGGCTTTTACGGCCAAATCACCTGGCAAGGAAACACGGTTGAAGGAGAATGCCTCCCCTTACCCGCTTGTGCCGCTAGCGTGGTCCACACAACTTGGCTTCAGGCTCAGCTGAACACTTCCAAAGGTCATGCCTGTCATGCTGGCCAGCAATTGATTTTCTTTGGCCATGCAAGCACGGGTGCCCGGAAGATTGAATGGAAGTTCGCCCATTCCCAGCCATCCAGCAAGTTCCTTGGCCGCGACGACCAGGGTGTGTTTCAGCGACCTCAGGGCCCTCAAAGGATGTAGGGTGGCAGGGTGAATTGATGAAACCAAGCGGTTATATAAGGAGCCAAATTTCTCAATCAGCCCAAAATATTCCCCTTAGCTTGCCGTGTTTAATCATCGATGTTCGCCATTCTGCCTTGGCAAAATCGCACGTGATTCCTCAACTGGCCGCTTTTCTTGGCACACACAGATTGGCCTAGCCAGATGAGTGATCAGCTAAAAAGCATCGGCCAAACTTGAAGGGTTTGCACGATGTATTCGCTGTAGCCCTGACGCAGTGTCGCTGTGCAATTGATATTCTGAACTTCCCTGTGATGTTGATTTTGTGGAATGCTTGTGGTTTCGAAAGTGCAGCCTGACGCTGCCGGTGTGCGTGCATGTATATTTTATAGTTGCACATATGTGTATGCATGGTATGGTATGGTATAGTATGGTATGATATGTGAGGTATGTGAGGTATGTAATGCATGTATGCATGTATGCAGGTATGTATGGATGTATGCATGTGTGCATGTGTGCATGTGTGCATGTCTGTGTGTATGCGTGTATGCGTGTATGCCTGTATGCATGTATGCCTGTATGCATGTATGCATGTATGCATG